GTGAGCATTCATTTAACTAGACGCAGCCCCATCCTGAAGAGCATGTCCTGCTTTCAGTGCCTTGCTGAATAGAACTGCAAGCGTTTATTTAATTTCCATTCTATTTCCTTTTGAAAGAGAGAGGATGGGATGACAGACTCCAGAGGGAGCACTTTCAAGACATTTGTATGAATGACTGGGCTACAGAACAGCTTCAGTCGGTGGACACAGCTGTTTCGTGTACACCACCCTGTCTCAGGTTGTGGTCTTGTAAATGGGAGGAAATCAGCACAGCAGTGGGTTTATGTCCTGGGAAGGACGCATCAGAGGGCATCTGAAAAGCCAGTTGGTGGGTGTCCCAGCTGCGTGGCGTGCACCAGTGGAAAACTATATGATTTTTTATGATGATGTATTTTAATGCCTAGATATTGAGTTCTTCTTTTACGTTAGGGGACACATCTATGACCTCCATGGACGTGTGGCCAATGCTGCTTTTTACGTAGGCTCACAGAGCTTGTCTCTTTGGTGGTGGATAGTAAAGACAAGGCCAGGAGCACAAAGGGGCAAGGGGTCAAGTCCAAGGGTTTCTCTGATGCCTCAGATCTGCAAAAGCAACAGGAGCAGCTGTTTCTATCTGAGAAGGGCTCCTGCCCTAAAGTCAGAGTTCCAAATGCTTATGAGTGTCCTTGTCTTTTATTTTTTGTTTTTTTGTTGTTGCTTGGGTGTTTTTCTTTTGTTTTGTTTTGTTTAGAATTTGCCTGAATTTTGCATGTCGGCTTTAATGTAAATACTGCTTAAAATATTTTATTTATTTTATTATGATTTTTTTCCATCACCATTCTTAAATGTCTATACAAGACAAATAATAGTAATATGTACAACTAAAAGTTATTTTCTCTTAATATGTACAACCAAAAGTTATTTTCTCTTAAATTCTTTTTCTTTTTTCTTTTCTCTTAAATTCTTAATCTCAGGCAAACCCATGACCAGAGATGAAGCAAGATCAGGAATATTTGTGTCTTGAAAATATCTGTGGGGCGGCTCGTGTGGGTTTCGAGATTATTTGTTCATCATTTTCTTTCTCCAGTTGTTTTTACAATAGTATCTTTGGAAGAGAAAAGAAAATATATACATATGTATATATAACCCAGCGTTTTATTTAATGCAAGTTTACACCTTAACCATCTACAGGAACTTAAAATAGCCTTGCTGCTGCTGTTGGTGGTAACTGTCAGGAGAGCAGGCGGGGCGCTGGGTGAGTGGTGCTCTTTCCATCCCCGCTCCGCTCCCCAGCAGCCTGAGTGCTGCGGCGCTGAGAGCGGAGCCTCCCTGCAAGGGAGCTGAGAGGCCGTTTCCATGGAAACCCAGTCACTCTCTTCTGCCATTTCCAAACCCAAGCTGTGCAGCACAGGCTGCCGTCTGATTCTATCCACGGGGGATGCCGATTGTCCCACCCGGGCTTCCTTCGTGGAAAAGGCGTGCTCCTAGATGGGCAGATGCAAATCGCATGTTTGCAAATCAATTTCACGCCACGCCCATTGTCGAGGATGCTGGAGCTGACTGGGTTTGAGAGGCGAAGATCTCTTTTGTTAGATGAACAGTCACTTCCCCATCCATCGACTTCAGAACATTGGTTTTTTTTTTTAATGTTGAGATTTCTTAAAGCTAGGAAATTTGTATGTAAATCTATGAGTTTTTAAAGAGCCTTAAATTCTTGCACAGTAACATAAAAATGGATACCAAGAGCGATTAGAAGGAGGAACCGTTGAAAAGCCGGTCAGGGCTGCCTTCTGTGGTCTAGAAGCACCACCTAAAGATGGAAAAGCTGAATTACTACCCCGAAAACCGGGGCTGGTTATCTCAGGGAGACACAGCCAGTGTTTCCAGCATGTCTCTGCCCTGGGTGCTGGTGAAGGGAATTGATGTTGAGGGCAGCCTGAACTGTGGCGTTCACAGGAGCCTGTGCAGGCGGGCGGAGGCGTCTCAGGAGGAGATGACGTCCGGCCCCGGAGGCCTGTGAGCCTTGTCAGGCCAAAGAGTTTCCCCACATTCATTCAGGCGACTAGCAAGTGGCATGCCTGGGATGCTCACCCCACACACCCACCTCCAAGCCCTGGAAATGAGAACAATCCTTTTAAGAGAGAAAGGCCTCTTTCCAGTGATTTTTTTTCTTCCTCAACACGGTGAAAGCTCTAAAAATAAGCTAAGTCAATCTCGTTTTGTTTGTTCTCATGATGAAAGAGGACATTTTAAAAACTTTTTTACTGAAACCTAGTTTGATTTTAAAATTAAGGGCGTAACACTCATGATCCCACTGGTGTAGACTTCAGCACCACACTTGCTATTTGCAATTAATCTCGTAACAGATACATTTGAGCTTGCAGTCTGCACTTGAGTAATGCTTATTTAGTGGACTTTGGTGGAGCCCTCCATATGTATCATTAATCTCTTTACATAATCATATTTAATGATGGTCCAGTAATCTCAAAAAAGCCCTAATTTAAAGACTAATTAATAAATTAAATAAAACGAAACCCACACAGTGTCCCCCCACCACCCTCAATGCTAGCAGTTGTGAGTTGTATTTATACTGAAATCTAATGTTTTCAAAGTAGTTCAGGTTCTCCCGCAACCCCATCCCACCCCAGAAATGCAGCAAGAGCCATCAATTGTTTTATTCTACCCTCCCAAAATTGCATAAATCCAGTGTTCTTTAGCTTTTTAAGATATAAATTGGGAGTTATTAATAAGCTTTTTAAAAAGGCACGTTATCAATAACAAGAAGGACATATAAACCAAGCAATAAAAGTATTGGACAGGACATTAAGTTACCACAGTCACTGGTTAAAACACCTATTTTCTTACCAAACAATGGATTATACATTCATAAATGACATTTAAACACATAAAAACTACCACAAAAACTTTTATAGGTAGTAAAAATATGATTTTCACTGAATTATTTGGCTATAATGTCTCACTTTAAATTTGAGAAGAGTCAACTTCCTTCTGCCCCAACAAAAAAGAACATCTCAAAAATGTTTAGCCATGTTAAAATGAATAAATTTTAAATAAACGTGCACTACGTACTTGAATTAGAAAGTTTAAGAATCTTTTTCTTTTCTTAAGCAAAAAGTAATGCCAAGTATATATTACTGTTTCTTGGTACATTTTTAATACAGATACATGCACCAAGATTAGCTTCTCTTGGATAGAATGATTTTTGTTGCTTTCAAATATGCCTTCCTGTGTAAGCTTATGGGTTTGGAGTTTACCTACATAAGGTGTCATTTGAAAAACCAGCTAGTTAAGTTCAGTCATTTAATTTATTTTTTAGACAATAATTACTTAGCAACTGACTGAATAGTCTTATGATCAAACTTTAAGTGTATGTAAACAGCTATTACTTGAACAAAAATCAGGTCTAACAATTGGATTTGGAGTGTTGTTCATGATATGCAGAGACTGTTTGAAATACTTCATCACTGTTCTGCCTCAAATTCCTCTTTTAAAGACCCCAATTCCCCTTAGTCTGAAGGGCGGTGATGGGAGTGCACAGAAGAACCCTCCACTGCTGCTTCACTCAGTGACCCTCATTCTCCCGGGAGCAGGTCCTCAATCAGACGTTTCCTCTACTATGATATGGAAAACATCCATTTCTATACCCTGAGATCCAGAGTTCTGTTCCCTTTCTTAGGACTAAAGGAGAGTACTGAAAACCATTTACACATCCAAGTGTCAAAATATGACATTCATACACTTAAAATTCGGCCCATTTCATGTATTTCCACTCTAATCCCTGCCGTTCTCCTCTGATCTTGAGAAAGCCCACCTTAAGTAAGTGCCTTGCTGTCCTGGTCTCAGCCCCAATATCCTATCCACAGTGACTTTCTGAGTGGAAAGCAAATTGAAATCTCTAGGAGCAGCAGACATGTATTAACTGTTTTTAAATTGTGATTCTTGATCTTGACAAGAATTCAAGTACTCACTGAGGCAGGAAGGGGCATGGAGTACGCTTTGATGCTTCCTACTGGGGTAATATTGCTCACTAAGTTGCTTTATCCTTGTCATTTTTGGAGAGTTACAAATGTAATAGAAATAAAGGGGAATTTTTTCTTAATTTTTACATTCATGGTGGGTGCAAATGCAACTGAAATAGCCCAAAGTGCAAATGTGTTTGCAGTGCCATCTTATTATTCTTGAGACAGCACAGTTAAGAAGTTATACAGAGGGCAATATAATTATAAAGCTCTTTTTTAAAAAGTCTCTGATTAGAGAAATGGCAAGACCTTAATTAAGAAACAGGATGGGGTCGCCTCGGTAGAATTCAGTAGATGAGCATGTGTCCCCGTGAACTGTTCAGAGCCTCTCCACTGACTGACCTGGTGGATCTGAACTGATTTATGTTCTACTCATATTGCTCAAGAGTAACAACTATTTTAAGGGCTATCAAACCTGCCTGAGTGCAGTGGTCGTCGGGAAGACGGTCGGCCTGCATTCCCATGGTCCAGATACAGGTCGCTACCCTCACTGCTCCGTGGGGCCACCCAGGCTGGCCGCAGCCCTGGTCAGTCCATGGAAGGGGTGCCTTTGTAGTGCTGGGATCTGAGTTCAGACTAAGACCATTCTCTCAGACCTTGGGGCACGTCTGTTCATGTGTGAGCCTCGCTTCACGCGTGGGCTGGTGCAATAACAAGCCCCGTGGTTGCTGGCTCTCCTGAGCTTTAAGAATGAGGGGAGAAAAGGTGGGCTGTTAGGAGGGAAGACAGATTCTAGAATGAGCAGCCTGGGGACCAAAAGTGCGGCATCTGCTCCAGAGACTGTGGGGAGCGGAGCGGCCACGAAGCTCCCGGTGCTCTGGAAGGTGTGCGTGTGGCCATGGTGACTTCCAGCTCCACTCAGCCTCTTTCAAGTAGGAGGTGAAGCAGTAGAGTTAGTTTGCTTTTTGGATAAAAAATAGTTAATTTTTCAGAGAATTTTATTCCTTTCAATTGTAACACAATTGGCATTTTTGATTGTAGGTGCCCCACACCTGGCTGTGACGGTTCTGGACATATCACTGGCAATTATGCTTCTCATCGGAGGTATGTAGAGATGCTACTCTTCTCTCCAAAATGCTCCTTCTCACTGAAATGGTGGGAATATCAGTCACTTCAGGCTCCAAGCCTTGCAAAGTTTGACACCATCGGCAAAATTAGGGATCTAGAGACGCTTAGCACCATAAAGCAGTGACATCCTCATTGGAGCTTCTCTTAGAAAGCAAACCTTCCTTTTCCGGGGCCACTGTCTCCTCTCAGGACATCTCACGTGCAGTGCAAGTAGCCCCACTGAGAAACATTCCTAGTCATCCAGCAGCACTTCTTTCTAAATTGGAAGAGTAAAGGAAAAAGAACAGTATCTACTGTAAGATTCCCGAGAAAAGCCATCAAGAGACACACATTCTAATACCACTGAGAGTTGGTCTCTTAAATATTAAGATTGGACCACAAAGCTGTACAGTTATTCTAAGCAGGCTTCAGTAGAGCTAAGTGCTACGGAAGCACTTAATGTTACAAAGTCTAGGCACTGTCTCTCCCAAAGAGAGGATAGTGTCCAAAATATAATATAGAGATTTGGTCATGTGAGATAACAAAAATTCTATGCTACTTGACATTCAGTAACTACTGGATGAACATGGAATTGAGGACAGGCACTATTTAGCTGAGAATGGAAAGAAATTGTGGCACTATTCGAGAAAAAGTTCACCACTTGTTAAAGACGGTACATCAGACCATTCAAGGAGGGGTGGGCAGGGCAAGAGGTCCAGGGGCCATGCAATGAGCTGCTGCAGTCAGAGAGACTGGACTCAACTCGAATCCCACTGAGGACAAGTGGGGAGCAGGTTGGGGTCAGTGGATGCAAAATTCCCCACAGGAAGCATGAAGGAGAAGGGATTTCTGGCCAATGGACTTGATGGGATCATTGCTGATGGCTGGCCAGGGTGGTAGGACCTCCAAGTGCTCAGACAGGTGGTGGGGAATTGTTCTTAAACTGATTTAGAAGGATTCTTGCTCAAACTGGATCCTACAAGGACAGAGAGGGAAGTCAAGGTCGGGTGCATTCTAGTAAAGGACCCAGAGGAGCTCAACTCAAGTTTTGGTCAAGAAGAAAACCTTTGTGAAAATATTGTCCACACAAAGGCGAATCCACTACATGCCACGAATGTTTAAGTCACGTTTAGATGTACCAACAGCCAATGCCAAGTTAAGGACAAGAATGTTTCTGAAATAAGACCGATTTAAAGTGAAGTCTCCCCGTATGGGAAACAATGCTGCATCTATCAAATAAATAAACTAAGTTGTACGATATCTGCTCCCCTTCATCTCTCTAAATTTTAGATTATAAAGTAGGCAGTCCAGAAGCAGGTGAGGCCTCCTGCTTTTAACATACTGCTTGCAAGAAAAAAGAAAGAAAAAGAGAAAAGGCAGGAAAGGCAGGAAGGCAGGGGGAGGGGAAGGGAGGGGGAGAGAAGGGAAGGTAAGGGAAGAGAAGGCAGGGAGGGAGGGAGAGAAAGGAAGCTAGGAGAGTTAAAGAGAGTGTCAGCCATGGATAATGACCCCTCCGCCCCCCAGGACAAGGTTGTCTGCACAGAGTCGCTGAGTGAAACCCACTGTCTGTCCCTGAGTGACCAGATCCCGGTGGTCAGAGGAGGGGACCCTCGCCTGACTTGGCTGGCATTTTGGATTAGAAACAGCACTCACAGGATGATTGTTTTGTCATTAAAATCTCACTGAAAGTAATTTGCTCCTGTGCTCACATCCCAGTCATTTGAGAGCTATGTTTAAACAGCACGTGTCTACGAAAAGCACAAATTGTGAATGCCACCAAGGAAAAATGAGGTCTACAACTTGGGGGAGGATTCTTCAGACTCAGTGCCAATGTCTCACGCTCTTGACCCAGATTCCTCAGCCTCTGCAGTGCTGGCATGTGGGGGCAGATGGCTGTTTGCCATGGGGGCCGTCCTCCACACCACGGGACCTGTGCGGCATCCCTGGTCCTCACCCACCAAATGCCAGGAGCATCCACCCATTCATGACAACCAAAGATGCCTGCAGTCATTGCTGAGTGTCCCCTGAGGGGACGACTGCCACAGACCAGGGGCAGCAGAGGCTTATTACATTGATGCAGCTTCACCAGGCAGCACAGAAACAGCCACGACGTTTGGTAGAACAAGAGTGAGTCACGCCATCCAGCAAGACTGCCAGAATTAAATCACTGGTTTAGATTAAATAAAAATTTGTAAAACTCCAATTAAATATACAAAGACAAGAACATACCATGCTGGTCTTTATTTCATCTTAGAAAAGTGATGTCTCGGTCCTATCACATGGCCAGAGCTTCCGGCGTGGCATAATGTCAGCACCCCGTAAGGTGAACGCTTCCCGGTCACTTCGTGTCCAAATGTCTGTTTTTCTTCTCATTTTTTTTGGTGGGGGTTGTCATCATGTAAATTTAGTCATCATGTTGTTTAAACATTTTATTCATTTTACATGTATCTTAGACGGCTAAGTATTAATACAGCACAAACCCATGATTAAAATCTAATCTAAGCTCAAATTTAAGCTACCATGTATGCCTGGAATAAATATTCCCAGGGTAAGTCGATGGAGTTGGAAAGTAAGTGTGATTTGTGTTTGGCGAATCTGAGACCTAGGCAGAGGCCTCTCGGGGTTTTAGCGTATTGAAGGTGGAACACCTTGTGACATTACTTGTTCTAGTAACAGCTTCCCTGGCATAGACATCTAAACAGGGCTGAGCACGTTGCTCAGAAGAAAAGTCCCTGCTAAAGGAAGATGGAGGCCCCAGTGAAACAAGTGCAGTTCTGTGTATTTGGCTGCTGAAGACAGACAGAAGCCAACAAGCAAACAAGGAAACTCTCCCAGGTCTGTTGGCTCTTGGTGGCCAGAAATGCAAGTAGAAGGAACTTCTTTTCATGTTAATCTTCTATTGTCTGTTTCTCAGGAACAGGAAGATAATGTTACGTATAGGCAAACTTCACTTAGATGATGATTCACTGGCCACCTTTTTCCCTCAATCATGCCATAATTCAAGGTAGTTGTGTGAGTTCAAGGCATCCTCCTCCCGCACTGTGGGCTGTTGTGAGAGGGAAAGTCACCAAACAATGATCCTGAACGTGTTCAGAGCACAGATCTGCCTCGCGCATCTGTGGTGTCTGGAATTCTGCCTCCTGCTCCCAGGACAAAAGCACACACTCCAATTTTGTCTGCAGTTGCAGAGTATTCCCAGCTCCCTTCTGAGAGAAAAGTGAGGCCAAGCCCTGGCCTTCTCCTGGGCCCGTTCTGGGAGCTTAGGCAAGGAGCTGTCCTCCACCATCTCCAGGGATGCGCTGAGAATTTTCCATTTCATTAACTTTTGAATTTGCGGAAACTGAGGGGCCAGGAGATACAGCAGCAGAGCTGCACTGGAGCCCATGTCATCTGACTCCAAGTCCCACCTCCAGGCAGCCCCACAGGCCTAGGATGGCCCTGGAGAAAGTGTGTGTGCCTAAACCACCTGGAGAAGGTGGGGTTGTACCTGCCTCTTAGCGGTGGTGTTTTCCAGCCTCCACATAGCATCCGAAATGTCCCTAAGTCCATTTCAACAAATGTTCATTGACTGTGATGTTCTATCAAACAATCCTCTATCCGCTGCTTTGCTGACTCTCTGTCCTCAGTGAACAGAGGCCCTGTTGACCATATGCCTACAAAGTCTTCCACGTCATTCACAGTCATCCACGGGGCTCCTCTTTATACTCTCGTTTTCAAACTAACAGACTGTTTCTTAAGTGTGTCCTCAAAATCCTGTTTTCCAGACACCTTTGCTCTTTTCTCCGACCACCGCCCACAGGCCCTCTCCTTCACCTGTAGGCTCCAGGTCCTGCCAGACAGGCCTGCCCAGGGGTGCTCCTCATTCTCTCTGTCCAGCCATCCCACATGCATTTTTCATAGGATCAGGCAAGCAGCAAGAGCTCCAAAGGCCCTGAAGTTGTTCCAGCGCAGAAGTCAAGTCCACAAATGATGATGCTCCAGGAATCTGACTCCCACTAGAGCAGCCTGTGGCCTCTACAGTTCCTGAATGGCATCTAATCACAAAAGAACATTTACTGGGCACCTGCTACATACCAGAAATTACAGTGAGCATTTTACATGTATCATCTCAGCATCCTATGAGATTATTGGTATCCTGACTGCAAATGAAGGTGCGTGGGCACGGAGATGCTCGGCTGCCCGTCTTGTCAGTGCCTGCACTCACCCGGAGCACTTCCACTCTGCTCTTTTACCATAATGCGCAAAATTGAAGCCTCCAGCATGGCAGTCAAATGGCCGGACAGTGTCTGCCCATGCCACCCAGTGTGCTGTGGGGACTTTAAACAGGGACCCCAAAGGCCTTACCTGCTGTGAAATGAAGACATCACCAGGTCCTGAAGACGACAGTGAAGAAACAGGCTTGATGTCATGCAGAAGAACCAGGAGCAAGTCTGCCTTGGAGGGTCTCAGGTCCTGCTGCCCAAATCCGGAGAGGCGGCTCCTCACCAGGGAGCCTCGGGAACCTTGGAAGGCGGTGCTGGTGCAACCCTGTCAGGATCTGCTCTCACACAGGTGCAAAGCTGTTTAGTCAGAGGGTCAGGAGGGTCACAGGATCCACTCTCATGCCTGGCACAGAGCCGTTTCACCAGAGGGTCGGTGAAGTCTGTGTTCTGCCCCGGGCTCCGGGCCAGACAGCCACTCTAGCACCACTTTGGCCTGGAGGCCACGAGGTTCACTGCCCTTGACCACATGTCTCCCGGGATCCCAAATCCTCCAGTTTCTCATAATCCTGCACTCACCTGTTGTTGGCCCTTGCTCGCTGGAGCTGTCCGTGTGCTCTGTCCGTGTACTTACGCTGGAGCTGTCCGTGTGCTCTGTCCGTGTGCTTACGCTGGAGCTGTCCGTGTGCTCTGTCCGTGTGCTCTGTCTGTGTGCTCTGTCCGTGTGCTTACACTGGAGCTGTCCGTGTGCTCTGTCCGTGTGCGTACCCCCAGCCTTTCCCTCCCCCAGAGAACACAGGGCTCTGAAGTGTTCATAGCATTTCCAACATTTACAAAGTTCCAGATAAAGATGTGGACATAGCATGAGCCCCTGTGAATTGTGGAAAACAGTTTCTGTCTAGGAAATTGTTAATCGTTTAAACGTAATCCCAAATGTCAGTGTGGAATTCCAGAAACCTAGTAAATTAGTAAATATCTGTTTGAGTATGTAATCTGTCCCCGAGGCAAAGGAACAGCAATAACTAAGGCGTTCCTAGCCTCGAGGTACAGGTAGTTACGAGGAAAGACATAAAAGCTAACCAGCCTGGGGCACTCCAGCACATTCCTGCACATTTAAGGGAAACCAAGATGGGCTCCAAGAGGACGCACACTCAGGGCAGTGGCCTTGGGGCCTCCAGGCCGGGATGGCACTAGGGTGGGAATCTGACCTGAAAGATACTTTTCAAACATGTCTGTACTTATCAAAGCCTAAAGATAATGAGTAAGTCATGTCTTAATTCTGACGAGGCAGGGTGAGTCGGAGCCCAGGACAGAGAAGGTGATGCTGAGCCACGGCGCGATGGATGGGGAGGGTCTCTAGGAGGTTGAGCAGAAAAGGATATTCCAAGCAAGGGAACAGCATTAGAGAACGTCTTATGATACCAACATTAATGCACATTTGACAGTGAATAATTCAGTTTGGCAACAGTTTCAGGTCTAAGCCTATGGGAGCAGCTACAAATGGAGCTTGCTTTAGGTGTCCAGTTGAATTCAGTATGAGGGGGTTAAACTTTATTTGCTGGAAAATGGATATTCACCCAAGTGCAGGCTTAGCTTTTAGCCTAGAGAGCAGACTGCTGAGAGACGGGAGGTACCAAGAGCACACTTGGGCGGTGACGGTGACAGCCGGGAGAAGAGCTGGTGCAGGTGAGGAGAGCGGCAATGGGGCCATGACCAGCAGGGTCAGGAGTGGGAGGGGCCCCTGGGGAAGAAGGCAGGCACTAAAGAGGGAGGGCCTGGGATGCAGCAAGCACCCAGGGGACATAATCCTCTGACATATAGAAGTCCACCAGGAGGAGTGGGCCTAAACACATTAACTTTGGGATTCTTATGATATATTCAGGTAAGCAAAGGAGGAAGGATGAGAGGAGAAAAACAGCTTTCAGGGTCATCAGCAGATGAGCTGTTCCAACTCATGCACGAAAAGAAAACGACCCTTTCAAAAACGGAAGATGGTGGCTGGGCGCAGTGGTAGCTCACGCCTGTAATCCCAGCACTGCGGAAGTCTGAGGCAGGCAGATCGCTTGAGGCCAGGAGTTCGAGATCAGCCAGTATGACAAAACCTCGTCTCTACTGAAAATACAAAAAGTATACAGGTGTAGTAGTGCAAGTCCGTAATCCCAGCTACTCAGGAGGCCGAGGCAGGAGAATCATTTGAACCTGGGAGGTGGAGGCTTCAGTGAGCTGAGATCATGCCCCTGCACCACTCCAGCCTGGGCAACAGAGCAAGAGACTCTGTCTCAAAAAAAAAAAAAAGAAGATGGATCCAAATCCTAAGAAAAGAGCTGTGGATGTGAGCCCTGAGCAGAACATGGAGCCGTAGCTCTGACGCCCAGGAAAGGAGTGACTGCTCCCCTCCCTCCAGGGCTTGCGAAGGGCCCACAAGTGAATCCCTATGTTTCTAAAATTTGGAAGGAGAAAATGCGGGGAGTGACGTTTTGTTAGGTTCAAATCTGGGCCCTAAAGAAGGGATCACAAGTGCAGACAAAGGTGAAAGTCAGGATGTAAAATCACAGAGCTCCTTCTCTGTGCCAAGCATTGTATGTATCATGTTATCACTTTCAGTTTTCACAGCCGATGACGCAGGTATTTCTGCCCCAAAATACAGACAAGGAAGCTGAAGCACAGACACTCGGGCTACGTCTGCACAGCCCATACATAGCATCGCGTCTTCCTTCTCTCCCTCAGCGCAACGCCTGGAAGAAGTGGCCGCTGAGATGCTTCTCACAAATAGTCATTCTGTAGAGAATCTCCACTCTGGGGTCCGTAGCAAGTACCGACTTTCCATCCTATGTTGTAAGCTGATAAGGGGAGTTTTAAATACTGAACAAGTTCTAATTCCATTGCTCCTAGAGTTCTAGTGCTTAGTGGGTGGGTAGGGAAACGTTTCTTTGTTTTCATCACACATGAAAAGTAGCAAGAAGTAAGCAGCATAAAGGTGCCAGCCATGCATTAAGATGCTACAGTGAGAACAGGGGGCCGCTGGGGGCCCTGGACTCCTGTGGGAGTTCAGTGCTGAAGGGGAGGCTAGGTCCTGCTGTCCTAGGGATGGAACAGAGGCCCTGGGCTATGGTGCGTGGAAGAGGACCCTGTGGGGCACAGGCACTGAACTACCCATCAAGTGAGTGGGGGCAGGTAAAGACCACGCCTCTCCATGCACAGGCTTCTCACAGGTGCCCTCGGCCAGCGCCCCAGAAAGAGACCACAGGGCCTCTTCTCACCCACAGACATGGCTTTCCGATACGGGCTCCTGAGCCGCAGAGCTGGCATTCTAGGAGTGCAGAGCAGCCCCTGTGCCAAGGCCAAGGCTTCCTGGAGGCCACCGCATTGTTGGAGCCAAATCTTGTTGTTTTTGAGGATTTGTTCTGTTTGGTTTTGCTTTGCCCCCAGCCCAGGCCTCCATGGTGGCCAAGAGCTGTCCCTGGCCCTCAAGTCTGCAGGGAGTGACTCAGGGACAGGGCAGCGGGCAGGGCCTAAGGGAGCCCAGCCTCTGTGGTGGGGTCAGGGACTGGGCTTGCCCCACAGGAATCCTACATCTGGGGAGATGGGATCCTGGGTAGGACTCCATAATTCTCCCTGGGTAAGACACTTTAATTGTCCCTGGGTAGGATACCGTAATTCTCCCCTTCTTTCCTCTTTTCTTCATTCATGCATTGATTCACCCGCTCCGTGCAAGGCTTTGGGCTAGGAATTGGGGAACCGCAGACAAACACTTGCATGGTTTATACTCCCAGGAATCGCCTCTCAGAGGAGCCTGTAGAGGACAGAACCATGTGAGCCTGCAGCGGTCGCATTGTGAAGACAGCCAGGCCCAGGCCTCTTGCAGGATGCAGAGTCACACAGCTGGGAACGCGCCACAGATAAGGCAGGGACATCGGTCAGTCCGAAGGATGGAGGCAAGGGTTGCAGGGAGAGCCCAGCAAGGACAGCGGGGCCTGTGGGCAGGAGAGAGGCCTACGTGGCTGCAGGGCCAGGCCTCGAGGAGCCAACGAGCTGTGTGGAGGAACTCGGGTCCCCCTGAGGAAGTGAAGAGCCTCGGATGATGCTAAAGGCTGGCCTGGAGGTGATCCCAGCCAGGGGGCCTGCACTAGCACTGCTGGAAGCGGAAGCACCTGGAAGCGGAAGCTGGACAGATGGGGAGAGGCCTTGGGTGTGACATCAACGGAACCTGAGGGAAGCAAAACCCAGCAAGGACACACTCAGTCTGCTGGCCTGGGGCTTTGGGTTGGTGATGTGGACGATGAGTCTAATTTTGGGGCATCCGAGCAGCTATGCAGCGTCGGGGGTGCAGGGGTGGACCTGAAGTCAACCCACGCTGGCCTCAGAGCCCCAGCGACCTGCAGGCAAGTCAGGAGCCAGAGGCTGGGGCGGGGGCGGAGGAGTCCGCGGTAGGAGCAAGGAAAGGTCGGGGGAAGCACAGACGGGCCCCTCTCTCCAGATTCTGCCTGTAGGAAGGCGGGGAGAAGAAAGGCCCCAGCAGGCAGCGAGCTCAAGCGCCCTTGCCTCTTCTTTCCTCTTCCTGTGAAGAGCGAGACAGGGGAAGGAGGAGAGGGATTCCCCGCTGGCTCCAGGAGCTGGGGCAGCAGGGGCCTGGAGTGAAGGCGCTGTGGGGCCTGATAACCTCTTCCCTGCCCAGACCCAAACCCCAAACCCTCTGCCACCCGCCTGTGCTGAGGGGCTGCCCCCACCTGAAGAGGGAGGAGGACGGCCAAGGCCTGGGAGGCGGGATGGAGCCTGTCTTTAGGGGAGTGAGCACTTCCTCCTGGGAATCTGCATGTTTCCAAGAATCAGAACTGACCAGGAAAACTATCCCCGAGCTCAGGAAAGCCAGGGAGAAGAGTGGCCTCCCACCTGGACCCACCCATATGCCAGCACCAGGGCTGCCATTTCCACAGGACCCAATGGCATGGCAGGAGATTACCCAATTTCTGGTTCTTCAATTCTTTTGCAAAAGTCCCACTTATTTTATATATTATTGTATGTGGTGTGTATGTGTGTGTATTTTTCTGTTCCAGCTGAAGGAATTCCCTTTACAAGCATGTCCAAAGCTTCTGTACCCGAGGCTGAAAACAATAAAATAAGCGTGTCCAGCTCCTCCTCTCCCATCTGCAGGCACAGCCCGAAGCCTGGAATAAGTCACTAGCCCGCCACTGTCTCCCAAGACACGAACCTGAGATGGAAGTGCTTGGGAAGCTGCTGTGAGAGACAGAGCCCCCAAGAACGAGGCTGGGAGGCTGTTTTCCTCAGTCATGTTCACCCCCGACATGCACACGTCCATGTGCACTCGCTCACTCTCTGTCAACAAAACCTCCCCCAGCATCTTTCCCGGTGACTCCCGACTGCTTCTGCCCTCTCCCAGTGAACCAGTTTCCCTCCCGTTCACAGCGTCCTAGCCCACCCCAGTCTCCCAGCTTTCTTGAAAGGGGACTGACGGTGCCTAAAGCCTTGGAGAGGACACAGGGAAAGAACTCTGCTCCTGCATCTTGACTGTGTACCCAGAAGCACAGGTTTCCGGAAAGAATCGAGTCACAGCCTCATCAGTTAAGAAAGCTTGCTGGAATCAACGGTGCGGGGTGGTTTCTGAAACGTGTTTCTTATTTAGCCTTTCAGGGTGCCCGAGAGCAAAGAAAAGCGGTATCAGGATAGCACAGAGCAAAGAAGATAAGGAAGATCAAGAGCCCATCAGGTACGAGCACCAGTGGGGCTGAGAACCGTAGCAGGGCTGCCCTGTGGGGATGAGTCATTCAAGCAAAGCACATCTGCTGATTGGCTGAAAAGTTACAGGGGCTGTCCAGCAGTAAGCTGATATCCGTCAATCTGAGGTTCCAGGTAACCCAAATCACCCTCAAAAACACCTTCCCTCTCTGCTTGGTGGGGAAAGCAGCTGAATTATTGGGAACGGCAGATTGGTGAACGCTCCTGAAAGTACTAAATACAACACCACAAGCGAATGCTTCACTGGTATTCTGGCTTGTAAAAATAGTTTAGTTATACCTGCCTTGCTCTAAAGCAGGGCTTGGGGCCACAGCAGACACTGGGCTCGGGGCCTGTGACGACCGACGGGCTGCCCAAGGGGGTGTTTGTCCCCATCCCACGTCAGCCACGCCTGGGCCCCAAACACCCACACAGTAAACCTCACTCCACATCTTCAGAAAAAAAATTTTAATTAAAACAGGATCAAAATAAAAGCGTACATTATTCAAATAAATTAAGATTTGTCAAAATAAATAGGTAATGCAAATTCTGGGGAACGCGAACTTTTCTGTTGATAAAAACAATGCAGGCAAACTCACCACTCGGGACACATGAGGAGCGCTTAGGCCAGGCCCTGCCTCCTTCAGGCGCCTCTGCTGCCCTGGCGTGTGTCTTGGTCCTGCCATTCCCAAGTTCCCAGGAACACACCTGCCCTGTGTCCATGTGCCAGCCTGACTCCAGGAGACTTCCTGAGACGTCTCTACAGCTGAGTATCTTCTCTAGCTGGAAGGGCATTTTAAGGCCTCCAGAAGACACAGGCAGACAAACGTCTTCTAGCCCTTGAGAAAAGCACGAAGCAGCCTCTTTAAAAATAATGCCACGACATCTTATTGACTTTGCATTTTTTCCACCCGAAAAGCCATGGTTCTGTCCCAAAGTGGTGCCTTTTAAACACACGCTTGTATAGCTACAAGCGGCTGCATGGTCTTTTGTGTGCTGAGCCCATCAGTCCCCACAAGGCACATACACTTTGTTCCAGAAAGTCCTTCCCTCCGCAGTGGGTCAGGCCTCCTGCGCAGGCGAACTAGTTCAGTCTTCCACTAGGTGGCGTCTGTTAGTGACTTTTCTTTCTCTTTTTCTTTTCCTTTTGCCCAGCCAGGAGGGCATGGTTCTTTTCCTCCTCATGCCGGGTTATCCTGACTTTGTTACAGAGACCACCAGCCGATGGTGGCCAGGCAATAAAGTGTGTCCCCCTGCCTGCCTGCAGGTGTCCTGTCCCCGGGTGCGACGGCCAGGGTCACATCACCGGGAAGTACGCGTCCCATCGCAGCGCCTCCGGGTGCCCCTTGGCGGCCAAGAGGCAGAAAGACGGGTACTTGAATGGCTCCCAGTTCTCCTGGAAGTCGGTCAAGACAGAAGGCATGTCCTGCCCCACGCCAGGGTGCGACGGCTCAGGCCACGTTAGCGGCAGCTTCCTCACACACCGCAGGTGAGTGGCTGCGTCTGCGGGACCCTAGCTGGGATGGTGCCGCCGAGAGCCAACTGGCATGGCTGGTTACGACGGCAGCAGGTGCCAGCGTCTCCCGTCACCTGTGTTTAGAAAGAAAAGGCTGAAAACTATCATTTCAACCTAACGAAATTCAAAGGTTTGGGGACAGCATTGAAACACCTTAAACTTACATTAGGGAGCACAGACTCCTTCAGCCCCATCTATAGATGACCACAGCAGTTTTCCATGTTTAAAATTAGAATCCACAGTAAGATATAGATTTTCATTTTAGACATGCACATGAATATCTTAAGATTTAGTTACTTATTTCACCTGAAATTCACAGGCAGGCCTCACTGGGGGAAAGAGGATGGCGTTTGGCACGGTGGCTCCTGGTGAATGCCTGCACCAAAGATGCATGAGAAAATTCCCAAAAGAGCCAATCAACCTCATTCATTTTTATTTGCTTCATCTAAAAAGAAATACAAGCAGTTAGATTATCTTAGGAGAGGCCCGTTCTGTGCAGTCAGATGGTGCAGTCGGTCCCTCTGTGGGGAGTGAAGACTGGGGTGGGCCCTGTCTCCACGGCTGACGGCTCCCCTTACGCTCGGCGTCCCTCAGCTTCCTTGAGGAGGCGGAGGGGAAGATACAAACATCACACGTAGATGTGAAGGTCGTGCCCTTTGGGGAGATTTGCAGTGGTTTCCTTTCTGCTGCCCTATGTGCCACTTTCTACGAAGATCACACCTGCGCCTCAAATCCATCTCAAACACAGCGTGAACAAAGCTGGGTGTGCAGATTACAGGAATAATGGCACGTTCAGTAATAGGTGACTCTGATCCTTAAAGAAATGTTAAGGAAGTTTTTTTTTAATTATTAAAGAAATGCCTGCTCAAGTAGAAAATTCAAACAATATAAATTGGTTTAAAGAGAAAAATTGGCCGGGCACAGTGGCTCATGCCTTTGAGAGGCTGAGCACTTTGAGAGGCTGAGGCGGGCAGATCACCTGAGGTCAGGAGTTTGAGACAGCCTGGCTGGCATAGTGAAACCATGTCTCTATTAAAAATACAAAAATTAACTGGGCGTGGTGGCTGGCACCTGTAATCCCAGCTACTCAGGAGACTGAGGCAGGAGAATCACTTGAACCCGGGAGGCGGAGGTTGCAGTGAGCCAAGATTGCACCCCTGCACTCCAGCCTGGGCAACAGAGCAAGACTCTGTCTCATACAAAAAAAAAATTGAGAGAGAGAGAGAGAGAGAGAAAGAAATTGAATGTCCTTTCCCGGACCTGATCTCTCAACTCCCTTCTCAAAGGCAGGCAGTTCCTGTCTTCTCTGGAACTGAAAAGCACCCCTATTTATACACATGGATCTCAGTGTCTCCCAGAATCCTGCATGAGGGGAGGGGCCTTGGCTGCTCACCAGGACCACCCAGGGCCCAGCAGACGGGGCGTTCCCCGTTAGGTGCACGGAACCCCAGGGTATCACAGAGCCACGTCACCCTCCCCAGTGAGCCTGCTGCCGTGCGTGCCACCCGGTATCCTGTCCAGGTTTGATTGTTACAAAGAACTCCACGTGAACGTCCTTCCACACACAACTCCATGTCCTTGTGCAAGCAGATCTTCAGGATATATTCCTGGAAACAAGAATGCTAGCTTTAAAATTTTGACAGATTGTGCCAAAATGCCCTCCAAAAAAGTGTCTACTTTCCCAAACCTTTCACCATTAATAAAATGTTTAAAAATTTTGTAAAAACCCTGCCCATTTGACCTATGAGTAAGGGCTTGTATGTTTTGCTGGCCTGACACAGACGAAAGCAGTTCCATCCTCTCACGTGAGCATTTCTGCACTCCGGGGATGGCACTGGTTCAGAGCTGCCTCTGCGGAGCCTGGTGCGTTAGCTTTCCTCCTGCTGAGACTTTGCCCATTTGATTTAAGCAGCAAATACCAGGTGCCAGATAAGTGCTGTTCCCTCCCACTCCCCAGCCTCTGGTTGCATTGCATGTTAGGGCCAGAGGACGGCCCTCCACCGAGAACTCTGTGCTACCGCTTATTCCATGGGGGAGGGCTTAGCGCTCGGGAGCCACTGAAGTGGGAAGCAGGACCCCGCCCCAGGTCACCGCTTCCCAAATGCCAGGCGTGAATTTCTGCAGCTAGAACCTCACCCGCACATCTCTGTCTACTCTGTTGCCAGCCCCACCTCAATTTCCACCCTTCCCTGTTTCTTTTCTCCAAAGGGAGCCTCTTCCCCAGGATCCCGGGCACAGAGTGAGAGCATGTTGAGATGCATGCACTGGCCTCGCCAAGCTGATGGAATCTTGGGGAGCAGGCTGATGGAATCTTGGGGAACAGGGTGGTGGAATCTTGGGGAGCAGCCTGATGGAATCTTGGGGTACAAGCTGATGGAATATTGAGTGCAGGCTGATGCAACGTTGGGGTACAGGCTGATGGAACGTTGGGGCGCAGGCTGATGGAATGTTGGGATGCAGGCTAGTGGAATTTGGGGGCACAGGCTGATGGAATGTTGGGGTGCAGGCTGATGGAATCTTGGGGGCAGGTTGATGGAATCTTGAGGTTCAGGCTGATGGAATCTTGAGGCACAGGCTGATGGAATCTTGGCAGGTTGATGGAATCTTGGGGTGCAGGCTGGTAGAATTTGGGGGCACAAGCTGATGGAATCTTGGGGTACAGGCTGATGGAATCTTGGGGCCCAGGCCACATTAGTGAGTAAAATCACAGCTTACAGGCTCGTGTTACTCAGAGAATTTGCAATGCTGGAAGCTCCCATCTCTAGAAAGCTGTATGCCTCTCACTTCACTCCCACCTGGTTGCCACCCACCCTTGCCCAGGGCTCAGAGCCTCCTCTTTCAGGATCCCAGGTCCCTGGAGGGCCCACAGAAGTCCAGGCATGATAGAAATGACTCCAGCTGCCCATGCCCCACCTACTCTGCAGGGCCACAGCTTGATGGGAGAGGCCACAGGCTCCAGGCCCAGGTATCAGTATTCACGTGCGGGGTGTGGAGGTGGAAATGTCAGCGTGCTAGGCAGCTCTTGCTGCAGCCCTGCCGTGGGCTGGCTGAGCTGCACGGAAATGTTGACACTCCTCCATTTGACTAAAAGGCACCATCAGAACTCTCTGAACTGCTGGCTTCAGCCACCTCTGAGGAGGAAAGGGGACCTCCCTGTGTGTCACAGGGCTCTGGGCGTGTTTGCCCGGAGACCAGCACCTCTGTTTGTGCAGCAAAGGAAAACCCGGGGCAGCAGCACAAGGGGAAAAGGGGCAGTCCAGGCCTGAGCATGGCGGACCTGGGTTCTGTTCTGTTCTGTTTTTATAGTTGCGGTAAAATATTAACACACTCATCTTTAGGTGTATGGTTCAGTAGTGTTAGGTATACAGATGGTCCTCGACTTACAATTTTTCGATCTTACAATGGTGCAAGAGCAATATACACTTGGTAGAAATGGCACTTTGAGTATCCACGCAACCATTCTTTTTCACTTGCATACGGTATTCAATAAATTACATGAGATATTCAACACTTTTGTATAACTAGGCCTTGTGTAAGTTGACTCTGCCCAGCTGTGGACTGATGTAAGTGTTCTGAGTGCGTTTAAGGTGGGCTAGGCTAAGCTATGATGTTGAGTCAGTACAATTAGTAAATGCATTTTTGACTTAAAATATTTTAAAGATAGAGTATTTTCAACTTAAGATGGCTATATGGGGATGCTGACCCCATGGTATGTGGAGGAGTAC